AACTCCAGCTCTAGGGCATCTGTATTCGTACTTTCCTATTGCTGTGATAAAACACCATGACCAGGACAACTTACAGAAGGAAATGCTTAATTGGGCTTGCAGTCCCAGAGGGTCAGATGTAAATGAAGGCTGCCCCAGACCCAAATAATCACACAGAAACTATACTAATTACAACACTGTTTGGCCAATGGCTCAGGCATACTTCTAGCTAGCTCTTTCACCTTAAATTAACCCATTTCTATTATTTAATATTTTACTCTGAGGCTCGTGGTTTGTTACCTCTTGCTTCTGGGGCGGCTCCATGGCATCTCCCTGACTCTGCCTTCTTTCCTCCTCTGTCTCTGCTTGGATTTCTCACCTTGCTACATCCTGGTCTGTCATAAGTCAAAGCAACTTCTTTATTAACCATTGGTAATAAAACATATTTACAGAGGGCTGGAGAGATGGCTCAGAGGTTAAGAGCACTGCCTGATCTTCCAAAGGTCCTGAGTTCAATTCCCAGCAACCACATGGCAGCTCACAACCATCGATAGAGAGATCTGGTGCCCTCTTCTGGCCTGCAGTCATACATGCAGACAACATGTATACACAATAAATTAATTCATTCATTAATTAATGCCGGGCAGTGGTGGTACATGCCTTTAATCCCATGGGAGGCAGAGGCAGACAGATCTCTGTGAGTTCGAGGCCAGCCTGGTCTACAGGAGCTAGTTCCAGGACAAGCTCCAAAGCCACAGAGAAATCCTGTCTCAAAAAAAAAACAAAAAAGAAAAAAAAATATTCACAACATACAGAGGGGACTCACATCAGTCAGAGTTCATCATGGCAGAGCAAAAGCAGGGAGGCAGGGCTGGAGAGATGGCTCAGAGGTTAAAAGAACTGACTGCTGTTCTGAAGGTCCTGAGTTCAATTCCCAGCAACCACATGATGGCTCACACCCATCTATAATTAGATCTGGTGCCAAGAACACTATATACATAATAAATAAATTAAAAAAAAAAAGCAGGGAGGCAGGAACTGCTGAGAGCTCATCTCTAGATCCATAGCTAGGAGACAGAATGAAAGCCAAATTGCAGGAGTCTTTTGAACCCTCAAAGCTCAACTCCATGTGGCAAACTTCTTCCACACCTCCCTAATTCTTACCAAACAGTTCCACCAAGTGGGGACCAAGTATTCAAACCCATGAACCTGCTGGAACCACTCTCAGACAAACCACCACAGGATCTGATGCACTCTCGGGTTTACACAGACTCTTGCATGCACGTGGGGTACACACACACACACACACACACACACACACACTAGATAAATAAATAAACCAGGTGTGGTGGCACATGATGATCCCAGCACTCAGGAAGCAAAGGCAGACAGATCTCCGAGTTCAAGGCCAGCCTGGTCTATAGAGTGAGTTCCAGGACACAGAGAAACCCTCTCTGAAAAAACCAAAGCCAACCTAATGAAAAAAGATAAGTAAATAAATCACTCCTTTTTGTTTGTTTTTGAGACAGGGTTATGGCACTTGCTCTGTAGACCAGGCTGGCCTCGAACTCACAGATAGCTACCCGCTACCACCACCACCCGGCAAATAACTCCCTTTATGAGACAAGGTTTCACTGTATAGCACAGGCTGTCCTGGAACTCACTAGAGATCTACCTGCTTCTTCCCAAATGCTGCAATTAAAGTAGCCTATAAACATGCCTTGCCCAAGAAAACAAAACTTTATTTACTAAGATTTATTCATTTATTTTACTAAGATTTGGGCTGGGTGGTGGCGCACACCTTTGAGCCCAGCGCTCAAGAGGCAGAGGCAGGAGGATCTCTGAGATCTGGAGTTCAAGGTCATCCTCAGCTAAATAGAGAGTTTAGAGCTAGCCTGAGCTATGATCCTGACTCTCAAAAAAAAAAAAAAAAAAAAAGAAATGTCATCCTGATGCCTCCTGAGACTTAGGACAACAGTTGATTTCCCAACAGAGACACAGAAAAGAGAGAAAGCACACAAAACTGTCCGCAGAGCTAGTCCTCTCATCCCCCTGCCTCAAAAGCTCTTTTAGTGGGAGCCTTAACTTTCTGGGATCAAACACCTTTCCCTCAGACACAACAATTTTACTGATAACATCACAGGTTCACACCAGGTGGTGGCGGCGCACACCTTTAACCCCAGCACTTGGGATGCAAAGACAGGCAGGTCTCTGGGAATTCGATGACAGCCTGGTCTATAGAGCGAGTTCCAGGACAGCCTGGGCTACACAGAGAAAACCTGTCTCAGAAAAAAAAAATAAAGAGAGAGAGGGTCATAGGTTCACAGGAATTCCTCCTTCGCTCAAGACTGGACATCCTGGGGACACACCTGAAGAACATCTGGATTTGAAAACAGAAAGAGGGAACCTAGAAGCAGGGGCCCCAGTTCCATCCCACTCGAGCATTCCAAGAAGCTTTTGGGAAGGCTAGATCTGATATGAAGTCCAGGCTATGTTCTTGGACAAGGCATGTGCCTTCTCTGAGCCATAGTAGTAAAAGGAAAGTATTCTTGTGCGTCTGAAGCACTGCACGGCAGAGGGTTAGGTAGCATGTCCAGACATTTGTGGCAGATGCCAAATGAACCACAGATGAAAAAAATCCTATCCATTGTGAGAAGCCAGGCACAGTTAAGCCTGCTTGTTAGCCTGGGCTAAACAGAAAAGCCCTGTCTGCAAACTCACAACAACACCTGATGCCATGAGTCCTTCTCCCTGGATGAGCTGAGGAAACACTTGTCCTGCCACTTCAGACCCGGCTCCAGGCAGCGAAAGCTAGCCTGCCTCTCTTCCCAGGTTGCCTGTGCCGCCAAGGTACTGGAGGGCTTGCTAATTCTGAGGAGGGCACTCCCACATGCCACCCACGAAGGGAGCCCCTTCCCCGTGTGTGACCCTGCGTGTGTGACTCCGCAGCAGCATCCTGCCTGCCACCCCCCTGAAGTGAGCCCTTTCCCCCATGTGTGACCCCGCAGCAGCATCCCGCCTGCCACCCACGAAAGGAGCCCCTTCCCCTTGTGTGACCCCGCAGCAGCATCCCGCCTGCCACCCACGAAAGGAGCCCCTTCCCCATGTGTGACTCTGCAGGAGCATTTTCAGTCCCTCTGGTTTTGAACCACATATCAGTGTCCGCGAGTGCCTGTGCGGTTTCATGTCACCGCTACCATATCGGGAGTAGGGGGCTCTATGTCTGCTGTCAGACAGAGAGGATGGCATCCTATAGATTAGAGTGAACTAAAAATAAAATCAGGAGAGTTCATTTGTGATTTCTTAATTTTATTTTATGTATGTGAACGTTTGCTTGAATGGGTGTCTGCACTGCATGTGTGCAGTGACTGTAGAGGCCAGAAGAGGGCATTGGATCTCCTGGGACTGGAGGTGCAGACAGTTATAAGCTTTCAATGGGTTCTGGGACTCAAGCCTGGGTCCTCTGCAAGAGCAGCCAGTGCTCTAATTGCTGAGCCAATGCCTCCAGCTCCTTATTTGCATCTTTTACGTTTTAGGATTTTTGTCTGTAAATCTACTACACTGGTCGCAATGTGTGTGCGAAGGGCAGAAGACAACTTGTAGGAGTTTCTTTCCATGCCACTTCTGTGGATCAAATTCAGCTCATCAGACTGGACCACAAGCCATCCGAGCCTTCTCACCAACCCATACTTGCAACTTTAATTTATGTAAGTGAATTAAGGGAGGGAGGAATAGAGGGAAAAAGGAAGGTGGATGGATGGGTAGGCGGATGGGTGGGTGGCTGGGTGAATGGATGGATGGATGGGTGGGTGGGTGGGTGGGTGGATGGATGGGTGGGTGGGTGGATGGGTGAATGGGTGGGTGGATGGGTGGGTGGATGTGTGG